GTCCTCTTAGGGATACCCTCTGGCTGCTTAGCGACTATTTTCCTCTATCTCTGACACACACAGCTACAGCCAAACCATATCCCCAGCCCTCACGTTTGCACAGAAATCCCTGTCTGCATGACCAGGCCTTTACGCAGCCTCCTGCCTGCAGCAGCGATTTCCAGCCACCTTCCACCATTGGAGGTCCTTCATTATTTTGTCCGCTGCAACCCAAGGGAGGGTGGCTAGCATCCCTGTCAACTTCAGCAAAGACTGCAAGGCCCGTAGGTCGAAGACATACTTGCTGAGAGCTGAAACCACCTCCAAAATCAGCGCCGATGCTCAAGCAGCACCCACCCTCCACAGGTATGAGGCTGAGTGCAAGAAAATCCTCCCAACCCACTGCCACGAATACAGCTCTTGTGTTGTTCTTAGCAGGCTACCTGAAGGAGGATGGTGTCAGCAGTCCTCCCAGTGCCAATCAGGACCACCATCACTGCCCCATGGCTAGTCTTAGTACTTTATTACACCACCTGCAGCGCAGGAAATTTTACCTGCTTTTGGCCCGTGACAGGTGACAGTCCTGCCCTCACTCCGTTTCACGGAAGAGCTTGCAATAAGCCCCAGCTAGCACTGTTTCATTACATGGTGTTTAAGAAGTACTATCACTCACATTAGGTCTTAAAAAAGGGGTTCTTAAAAAGAAAATGAAGTGGCTAACGTCACTTGGGATCCCCTTGACACCCAATTTAATTCCAATATTCTTATCAGCTGATGACACGGTAACTTAGGCCTTTCCCCTCACTGTTTTTAAAGGGACTGAACTGCGTCTATACAAGGAAATGAACTGTGTCTAACTACAGCCTGCAGCTTTGAAGTGCGTTTGACAATGCCATTAAAAAACCCACCCACCACCTTTTCTCCTAGTGTAGGGGAAGCACTAGGGTCCTCCAGTGAGCTAACAGGTACTAATGTCCTAACCACCGACACCTTTTGACGTACAGTTCAAACTTGCATCCAACCTTTAGCGCTTGTTCCCCGCACATGGCCAACTGCAATCCTTGCCGAAACCAAAAGAAAAGTGCATTATAAAACAAATAAAACCCCCTTTTCCTCTTGCCCCTTCCCCTCCTCCCGAGACATAAAAGGGCCACGGCAGTTCAGAGCTCTTCTCATGAGCGAGAGCTAACATTCAATCTGCCTTGGGTAGGTAGGACAGGGCTACATCTAACACCACTTTGATATGGGTGATAACAGAGGGTTAGGAAGCAGGGGATTTGCAGGGGGAAAACCCAGTTTCCTGTCTTGGAGTTATATCTGTATTGATGAGGATGCCATAGAGCCACGTCAGTGAGACACTGCGTGTCAGCTTTGCAGTTTGAGGATAATCCCTGTTTCTCCAGAACAGCCCTTCAAGACGCCACATCCAGCATGATTCGCCTGTCACAGAGGTTTGCTATACATTGCTCAGCACTGACAGAGGTCACCACACATCGAGGTCCAATGCTTGCAACCAGCTATATTTTCCCCCCATTCTGTCCAGCTGGTTCTCACGCCCAAAACCATAAAGCAGCAAGCTTTCCCGAACCAGGCACGCAGGCTTCACTTGTGCTAGAAAAGTGACTTGCCAGCTGTTGTGCGGAGCCCCTTGTATGCCCGTAACATAACACAGAGCCACGCACAAAACTGCTTACCGGGCTCCAGGAAACACCGCAAAGTTGCTGCAACCATCTGCAGGCCCTGTAATGCTGTGAAGGAGATGCCCCTGCGGAGGTGAGGCGCTAAGGGCATCGGCTCCAGGATGGCCAATGTGAGCACATTGCAGCATTGCTCCAACCTGTCCGTGCCCCCAGAGGGTTCACCCACAGGGCAGTCCTCCCGTGCAGGTGCAGCAACAGAAGTGAGGTGTGTACAGCTGGCACGGACGGATGTTCTGCTCTGCACGTCCACGCCGAGGAAGGACAAACAGGTTGCAATGGGTACTGAGGTGCTGTCATGACCTCCTTCACCTGCGACACGTCAGACTCAGAACCACGTACCATTCCTGTCAGCCTTTGAGATCCACACGCATGGATCCTCATCACAAAACACCCAGCAGGTGAGCTGGAAGGCCGAGAACAGCCGTGCCAATGGGACGGGACCCTGGACAAACGATCCTCCCTCCACTGCCTGCACCAGTAACTGATGTTGGCCACACATGAGCTGTGAGGTCTGAGGCCCACATTACACACCTGGCTTGCAAAGCCATGCGTTCACAATTAGCATCCCCCAGGATGAAAGCCACCTTCATTTGGCCCCCTGGCCCACGTGGATCAGGGCTGGGGTTGATGACCCACACTGCAGGCCTTCCCTACCAGACCACCTA